GAGAATTATAAATCCATCAAGGATTTTCATATAAACATGTACATTAGAGTCTAATGACCCATAATTTCTAGGTCATGATTTTAATAAATTGCATATCTAAATATATTATTCTGTCAATTATGTAGTGGAACTTTTAATGATATTCATCATGGGAGAGTATACTTGATTATTGGTTTCTGCGTGAACCCTTATGCTACAGACTCGCTTTATATCTCACCACCTTGTCATTCTTGTTTTTCCTTTATACAAACGCCATTTGTAACCTACAGGGTTAATACTTCAATGGTGTATAAAAGGATTAGCGAGTTGAGCTATATATGCCTTTAATTGTTCTATTTATACGTTAATCAATCTAGGCGCTTCTGGCACCTAGCTCTGGATCCAGATTGTCATATAATATGAGCAATTTTGAAGGCAACTGTGTTGTCGACAACTTATAATATTTTCAAGAATTTCTACCATATATATATAAAAGTAATTTTCAAAGTTAACCAGATTATAGCCATTTCCCAAGGATATTTATATCTGGTTGTTCCACAACTCAGTATTATGAATATTTGGTGCACCAATAATTTTACTGGGCTTTTCTCGTCGTTTGGACGATCGTCTTAAAGAAATAACTTTTTAATATTTTAAGAGCTCTAAGATTTTCAAGAGTGACATAAATTCTTTACTAGATCTAGTTGATTCTTTATTTTTCTATCCCAATGAATCTCCCGCACTTCTGGCGTCAAGGAGTATTGATAGATATATATGGTCCAATTTTGGGGAATATGTATAGGACCTAGTCACTCTTTTTATGAAATAGATTATTTGGCAGCTATGTTTGATTTCTTTTTGAACTTCAAGTTCAGTCTAAATGGTACGTGGATTTAATTTTTGAAGATCATTTCATGAAATTTCTCGGCATTCCATTTCAATTTTGATCATATCCCCCCCTAATGCCGTGAACCGATCTTCATGCAGTCAGCGTATCCATCGCATCTCTTTCAGGGGCTTTAAATATTGGAGACAACAAATGGAAGTTTATATGGATACACTATGGTGATTATGTAATAGACTGGACTGCATTCATAAGAATAGAAACGCAGATTTGGGAAATGTTTGTTTGAAAACCACGTATTAGATGTAAGGGGGAATAAGGATATGCATTGTGCCAAAATTTTTATCATAAATATTGCTTTTCCCCACCAAGTATCCGGCACATTGAAATTTTGAAAAATAATGGTTTAGTAATAAGCCATAACTTTATTAATTCGCTAAACCATTTGGGTAAGAGCATAAGGTACTTGATACTCCGCCTTAATGCTTAATGTCATATAATAATCGTCGAAAAAAGGACGAAGTTCATAGGATAATCCGAAAATTAGGCACTATTATCCATAAGATGCAAGATCATATCCGTCTTTTTAGATCATAAAGAATGAGTAACATATGTCTACTCATCAGATGAAGGATATTTGATCAAAGTAGATATTTGATCGGATGAAGGCATTTCAATTTATTAAAAAATTGATGGAGTAAAAGTGAAGCTCTACCGGAATCGACAAAGGAAACCTTATCAATAATTGCAGGAAGAAGTTAGATGTTTGTATAAAGATCTTCCAAAATAAAACATCACTGGAAATATGTTGAATGAAAAAGTAGGTCATCAATATGACCAACAAGAGCGTTTGCTTCAGGCAAGGCAACTTGGTTGGATTCAACATTGTGATGTTCATTTAGGTTTCAACAAAATGTTTCGAGGTGTGGCACGCACGTGATCAGTGCCTTTTTCACCAACAATTGAAGCATATTTGCTGCTGGGCCAGAATGATGATCATATGAATGTGGTCGTCGAGATGGATCACTTCACTGTTTATTTTGGTTTCGAGAGTTATTGTTGCCACCCTTGCCTTGATTCATAGCGTGACCTCTTCCTCAGCAACTCTTGGAGTTGCATGACTGAGCAACGTTGTGTGCTTCGGGCACTAGTGCAGAGTTAAATTGGGTAATAACACCGTTAACGGCAAAACGCGCGCTATTTTTTTTTTTTTTTTTTTAACTAAATGACGCGTTTTTTTTTTTTTTTTTTTTTTTTTAAAACGACGTCGTTTTGGGCCCGTGTCCACAATTCATTGTGGACATGGGTCCAGGGCATAATTTGCTAATGTATACATATAATTTAGGCCTAAATAAAACATGTATATGTTATATGTATATCATAAAGGGTTAAATCATCATAGGCCCAAAATATAATAACATAAAACTGGATCCAAAAACCAATAAGAAGGGCCCAAGACACACATTTTTGTTGTACTAAATAGGATTGGACCCAAAAGAAAAACTAAGGCCCACAAAATTTTAATATTAAGATCTGGACAAAAAAAAATCCAAACTCAGATCCATATTAAAATAAATAAATAAATAAAACAAGGGTGAAAACCCTGGATAGTTATGCTGTGGGCTCGTGCCCAGCGTGCATCATGGGCACGGATAACGGTGCCGTCAGGCACCGTTATCTTCCCTCTTTTTTTTTTTTTTTTTAAAAAAATTTAATTTCAGACCGCTTCGTTATAGGAGCATATATTCACAGCTTTGTGTTCATAATTTCATAACTGTACATTCATAATTCCATAACTGTACATTCATAATTCCGTAACTGTACATTCATAATTCAATAACTGTAAATTCATAATTTTCGAAGCTCTATGTTCATAATTGTAAGTTCATAATGTCAGAGTTCTATGTTCATAATTTCATAACTGTACATTCATAATTCCATAACTGTACATTCATAATTCCATAACTGTACATTCATAATTCCATACTGTATATTCATAATTCCATACCGAACATTCATAATTTTCGAAGCTCTGTGTTCATAATTGTAAGTTCATAATTCCATAACTATACATTCATAATTCTATAACTGTACATTCATAATGTCATAACTGTATATTCATAATTTCATAACGAATATGCCGTTAACGCCGTTAACGGCGTTTCGAACAAATTTTTTTTTATAATTAAAACAGCGTCGTTTTCACGGAAAACGACGCCGTTTTAGCGCCGTGCGCACCTTGCAAGGTGCGCACGTGCGCATAGCATAATTTGCCGAAAACCCTTATTCTCAAAGAAACCAGGGGCGCGGCTATGAAAAACAATGAAACCATCGCGAATGTTTGGACGGAAAGCCAGAGCTGTCGGAGCTCCACGCCGCGGCCTTCTACCGGAGCACCGGGTAATCGCGGGCTTCCGGGACCTCGATCTTCCCCGATCGAAAGCAAAAGTTACCATCATCGTTATTCGACCGGCGGAACGAAAAACATTTCGGAATGAATTCTAAAAAACAGGCGTGCCGCAGCTGCCTTTCGCGGCCGGGGCATCGCACAACCCGCACAGTCGCCGCGGCCCGAATCTGTGACCGCCGCAACTTTCCACCTGCTCGCAGCTAGCGAGAATGAAAACGCTGATCTGGACGCCGATCAGCGATAACCGACGCTAAGGTAGGTTTGGGTGGTTGTTTTGTTTTCGATTTTGATTTTCGTGTTTTTTTTTTAAAAAACTGAGATGTCAAAATACAACAGAATTATATATACAGATACTATACGAAAATCTGTAAAAATTCCATATTTCCATATGATTTGGTTTGGGTTTTTTTCTTGATCCTGAGCTCTGTGAATTAATCACTCGGAAATCATGTATATATTCGTGCGAAAAATATATATACCCAGAATGTGTATACAAAAACTTCAGAAAACGCACGTGTATAATCATATGGTATGATTTTGATTTGATTTATAATTTTTTGAAAAACATACATGCTGAGAAAAAAACTTGTTTGAAGGTGTAGAAAAAACTGAGTTTGAATAAAAATTTAGAATATTTTGCTTTGAAAACCATTTGTCTTGTTTTTCGCTTTTTTTTCGACGGTTCAAAGCAGAAATTGATGGAGTTTGAATAAAAATTTAGAATATTTTGCTTTGAAAACCATTTGTCTTGTTTTTCGTTTTTTTTTTTCGACGGTTCAAAGCAGAAATTATCAATTTATGTTCATACATTTCAATGTGTATACAAAAAAATGAGCAAACACAATGCACAAACCAATATATACATATGATATGTATCATAGGATATAAACATATCACATATTAAACAATATCCGAAAGCATATAAACATCAGATGGATTGATTGAATTTCCAGAATAGAATTATTCAAATATGAACATACCGTTCATCGGGATTGAGCGGCTGATAACGTGTTGTAATGTTGTTTGTGTCCGTTGGCCTTTAGCTCCTAACCGGTGGGTTGTAACATTTGTATCAATAATATAAAAGATAAAAATAAAATATAGAACAAGAGATATGGGTGAAAGAGGAGTAAAGACCTCACTATCCCAACCATCCATTTGAGTACAAGGAAGATATATATATATATATATATATATATATATATATATATATATATATATATATATATATATATATATATATATATATATATATATATATAGGGTCAGGTTCCTGTAAGGTCAGGTCTTCCCGTGCGGTCAGTGCGGCATACACCATTAGATATGCATAAATGCACCACACAGTGTTTGTAAATACACCATTATGTGGTGTATTTTTTTTTTGTGTGTGGTGTATTTTTTGACATTTCATTCTGGTGTATTTTCGAACACTGTATGGTGCATTTATGCATACCTAATGGTGTATGCCGCACTGACCGCACGGGAAGACCTGACCTCACAGGAACCAAAATCTATATATATATATATATATATATATATATATATATATATATATATATATATATAATACATTTGTAACGGAAAGCAATAAATGATAGATATAAATATGAGCGTTACAAAGGAAACAAGATAGAATTATCAAACTTGCAAATTACTTAAAATTATATGAATATTTTATTTTTCCATTTCTGTTGTATTGTATTGATCTCCCCTGATCTCCCCCCACTATAAATACAAATGCATTCTCCTATTCATTCAAAGTAACATAGAAATATCTCCAAGAATGGCTTCTAAAGCATTGACATTTCTCTTCGTTATTTGTCTCATTCAATATGGTAAGTCTTTCTCTATTCTATTTTTTCCTTGTTATTATTCACAAATTATTACTTCCCAACAAAAAAAGTTATCGAATTTATTTCAGTTTTATGTTCGCTTCAATAACCGTATTCTCTATATAGAGAAATGTACAAACAAACACATTCTCTACTTTTATTTATATTTTTATTGAGTTAATACACAAAATGGTCCTCGACTATAGTGATTTTTCTCAAATTCATTCTAAACAACTTTGGTGACCTAATGTAGTCCTAGATTTTTGTGTTTTCGCTCAATTTAGTCATCCGTTTGTTATTCCATCAAATTGGTGTTAAATAAAGGGACAATTCAGTGATCTCAATATTGACATCTCTTTACTTCGATATTGAAATTACTGAATTGTCTATCTATTAACACCAAATGGACGGAACAACAAACGGATGACTAAATTGAGAAAAACATAAAAGTTTGGGACTAAATTGAGCAAAAACACAACAGTCTAAGACTACATTAGGTCACCAAAGTTGTTTTGGATGAAATTGAGAAAAATTATTATAGTTAAGAACCATTTTGAGTATTAACTCTATTTTTATTATTTGTTCACTCCCTATTTCTTGTGAATGTATTCTTTGCTTTTCTTTATTCATTTTGTTTAATTATTTTTTCACTATTCATATTTTATTTAGAGAAATATACAAGTAAATGTATTATTTACTTTTCTTTTTCATTGGTTGTATGTATGTAGGTGGTTTGTTTGAGGCTGAGGCAAGAAATGTGGTACATGTGTTTTGTGAATCCGATGAAGAGTGTCTATACATTTGTCCGGATCCACTACCGGGCGTCTATTGTGATTTCGAGACTAACCTATGTGTTTGTAATGTTAATACTTCGCTAAAAAATCAAATTAAAGTGTGAAAATGGTGAAAAAACCATTTCTTACATTTACAAAGAGTGTGGTTTAATATAATACCCCACTTAAAATAAATATAATCTACTACTCTTTGTTTGTTTATGACAATGTTGCTTGAATTTTGAAATAGCTAGCAAATGACAATGACATAATAGAGTAACCTTTTAAAGTGAGGGGACTCCTTGTGCACACTAAGCAAATGTCTAGCCTCTGTGATTCAGAATAATAGCATTTTTGTAGCATAATATCTTTAAATTTTGACAATCACATAACATTCAAAATAAGAAATAATTTAGAATATCATTGCCACACTAACAAAGATTGTCAATATATTTGTATAAGACCATCCCCTAACATCTTGTTAGGACTAAAGATGAGTGTGATATCAAGTTCTCTAGATTGGATCCTAATTGGATCAAATCATGAATAAAATTGAAGACAAAATTAAAATGTCAAATACAATTCCACATCAATCTTTGCATCATCCTAGCTCCATCTATGATTTTTAAGAAATACCATAAAATTAAAAAAAAAAAAAAATAGATTTGAAAACAAAGGTATAGCCATCCTTCATCAACCTTGATGGAAGAATAAGAATCGATGCTACATTCTTTTTTTTATCAAGGTCGACAGTTGACAAAGAAGGGAAGGATGCCAACGCCATCTCGTCTATATCTAGAGATGGAAGTAGCAATTTTAGCTCTATCTATATTAATTCTTCTAAATATTATTTTGAACATTTATTAATTTATTATATTAAAGAATGACGTGACAATGATAGTGTTGTTGATAGTTGACATGGAGTATGTAACATGACTATATGTAACAACGCAAAAAATAGTATGTGTGCCATGAATTAGGAAATAATTTCATAATACCCTTCCGCAAAAAATAGTATGTGTGCCATGAATTAGGAAATAATTTCATAATACCCTTCTTTGAAAGAAGAGAAGGGGGATGATATAGCGATTTTAGTCTCTATCTTTTCATCGTTGCAATATACACCATCAACTCTTCAAGAAAGATTCATTTTAACCCCTGTAATAATAAAACTATTAATTAAACTCTATTAAAATTTTACTTAGTATATTGATATTTTAAAATTTTATTATCTTTGCTCTTTATAACATTGTGAGTTTTTGTATTTCATTTGCAAAATATATAGAAAATTAACAATCTTCTTCTCTATATGTTTCATTTTCAATTGTGTCAAATAGTCCCCATTTTTCTACACGATCCTGTTAAAATCATTTAATTTTTATTTTTTGAAAGGAAAGAATATCATTAAAATCAAGAGATTAAGTGTTCAATACAAGAAGGAATAGTAGAATATATACCAATTAAAATGACCAGTATGAGAACTAGCAGCTCTAGCCAACACATGAGCAAGCTTATTCACTGATCGATTGACATAATGAATAGACACTGATTTAAAGTGCCTTTTTAGAGACCGGCAATACTTGAGAATGCAACCTGCATAAGAATAGTTCGGTGAATCATTTTCGAAAAACTTTCATACCATCTGACAATTTGATTTGAGCACAATGTTACGCCAGCCATGTTCGAGAGTCTAGGAGAGAGCTTCTTTAACTGCAAAGGCCTCCACAAGATGGGGATCATTGAGGCAACAAGATTATAATTAAAGACAAAACAATAAAATGTCTTAATTAAAATACACATGTACTAAGTATATTTTTAATAGAAATTAATAGTTTTATTACTCCATGGGTTAAGTTAAAACTGCAACATTTTTGAAGAGTTAGGGATGTATATTGCAACGATTAAAAGTTAAGGACTAAAACACATAATATTTTAACTATAAACACATAATATGTAAATTTCAATATGCAATAACAAGAAATTAGGCACTAGCACTAGGAAATAAAAAGCAATCCATAAATAGAAATAAACAATTATGACTAAACAAAATAAGACTAACACATATACACAAATGATAAATTAAAAAAAAAAAAAAGAGGGGGGGGGGGGGGGGGGGGGGGGGGAATAGCACTTTTCCCCCTAAATTATATGTTTATAGCACATTTTTCCCCTGAATTATTCATGTAAGCACATTAGTCCCCTCAATTATTTTAAAAGTGGCGGTTTTCCCACCTGATATATTAAATTGACATTTCTACCCTTAAAGTAACATTTTATTTATTTTACTTCTCCAACAAATTATTGCGTATATGTAGTTATGACCACGGTTCGGTTCGAATTGAACCGGACACTATAGTAATCGAATTAAAAGTTTCCGGTTATGATTCAGATCTAGAACCCAATATTTGGATTTCAATTTATTAAAATTATGAATAAGAAAACTGGATCCTGAACCGTGAACCGGCAATTCCTAATCCGGTTCGCGATTTTGAACCGTCTTTATTTTAAAATAGTCTAAATTCAACAATGAAATGTATTTTATTTTTTCAGTTTGGAACATGAACCGGCCGTTCCGGCTAGCGATTTTAATAAACTCTAAATATCGCGTTTTGATTCTAAATTGTAATTGGAATATAGTGTGTGTTTGGTTTGAACCAAATTATAGTAATAATTTGTTGGAGAAGAAAAATAAATGAAATATTTATTTTAAATATTTATTTTAAGGGTAAATATGTCCATTTAACATTTCAGGGAGAAAAACAGCCACTTGAATAATTCAGGGAGAAAAAGTGTTATAAGTATATAACTCAGAGGGAAATAGTTCTATTTTTCATTTTATATATTTTCCTTCTCCAACAAATTATTGCTTATACGCAGGGATGATCACGGTTCGGTTTGAACTGAATCGAACACTATAGCAATCGTTCCGATTATGATTCAGATCTAGAACCCAATATTTAGATTTTAGTTTATTAAAATCATGAATCGAAAAAACTGGATCCTGAACCGTAAATTGACGGTTCGAATTGGAATAACTACTAGCATTAGCTTAAAATTAGAATTATAATATTTACAAACAGTGTATGTTCTTTTTACATTTATTCTGATTCTCACATATAAGTATATATGATTGCGTTTTGGTTTTAATTTTGAACTGCCGATTCACGGTTCCGAATCCAGTTTGAACTGCTGGTTCAAACTTTATTTTAAATTAAAATTTTATTTTTTATTTTTAAAATAGTCTAAATTTGATAATAAATTTATTTTATTTTATTTTTTTAGTTCGAAACATGAACCGGCCATTCCGGTTCACAATTTTAATAAACTCTAAATATCGGGTTTCGATTCTAAATTGTATTTCGGTTTGGTTGCTATTGTAACACCCCTTAAAATTTAAAATATTTAAAGCTTATAAAATAAAGGCGAATCTAATATTAAATCCCAAACAGAGCATAAACCAAACATAATAGTCGGGGTGTTATACCACATCTAAGCTGGAGAACTTAGATGCACAGGCTATACTAACTAACCAAACATAAATCCATAAATCCATAATTGAGTACAAACCAAGACACGCAGGTCGACTAACTGAATCTAAGACTATCTAGACTAGATTTGGGGGATCCAACTAGCGCACTCCAAGCTACATACTAATCTACACCTGAAAAACATGCGGTGTAACAATCGTCAGCGAATAATGCTGGTAACACACTCCAACTCATTAAGTACAATATAGGTAGATATAAGAAAATCATTTTGGAACCGGAATACATATATAACCTATGAGACTCTAATTTAAATCCAAGATCAAGACTCAAGAAACGATAATAGACTCAACAATATAGAATAATTATAAAGACTAGCATGCATCCTAGAAACACAATACGAGGCATAATTAGACAGATAAGCATATAAACAGCAAGTAGAGACAACAAAGGAATTCAAGGCAATCATTTAACAAGCAATCATCAAGTCACACAATCCATCTTCCAACCTTATACCAAGTTCAAACCTTGTAGCTCCCCTCCGTCCTTATATCAGTTCCAACCTATACCTCCAGGCCACTCTTATATCGCCTCCCTTATTCCTCCGGGTAACTACATGCCCCCACCGACAAACCACCTTTCAACCACCAACATATCAAGATAGAGCCGCAGTGCCATTCGCATGATCCGCACCTCTAATGCCAATATCAAGGAGTCAACGCATATAGCCCTGACATGACACCGCAGCACTTATAACCAGACCCATGCTCAACGGCAAGCAAGTCAAAGGTGGGTTTGTGCCTTTATCACAGTAACCGCTAGGCCTGTACCTTTAGTACAATGACTGGGCACAAGTGGTGCCAACCGCCAACAATTCATTTCCACCAATCACAATCTCATCATCATCATCACCATTAATCACACCGGCCATTGCACAATGACCACGATAATCATCATCATTCAATCAATCAACACATAATCAATCAATAACAATCAAGACATAACAACAACGACACGTACTACACATAAATTCCTAGAACGGTATTCGAAACATCAAACGGGACTCATACACGACAAATGGGGTACAACGGGACACAACGGGATACGGGGAAACAACAAACGGAGAAAAACATCACGACGCACATAAACTTTCCAGCGGGTGGAGGACCACCCGCCACCCACCCTCCGGCGGCCACCTACTATTCCAGCGGGTGGCCGGCGGGCAGACCACCTCCCGCCGGCTGCCCGCTGGGACAGTGCTCCCGGGCAGCGGGTAGGTGGTGGGCACCCTTGCCCCCACCTACCCCCACCTGACTCATAGGCAACTTTCCGGTCCCGGGATTTCTCGTGGAATCCAAAACCATGTCCAGACACATTCAAACACATAACGACTACACCACGGATTCAATTAACGGAATTAAATCAAGAATCATTCCAAATACACTAGTAGTAGTAGTAGTAGTAGTAGTAGTAGTAGTAGTAGTTGGTCATGGCGTATGTGAACTTCATCTACGACGTAATGTATGTCTCTTTGCTCAGTAGTAGTAGTTGGTCATGGCGTATGTGAACTTCATCTACGACGTAATGTATGTCTCTTTGCTCAGTAGTAGTAGTTGGTCATGGCGTATGTGAACTTCATCTACGGCGTAATGTATGTCTCTTTGCTCAGGTAACGGGTTTGATAGTAATGACGAAACTAATCTACGACACACATCTCACAAAAACATGAAACATGTAGGGAACCCGCATGGGCAGCTCAACTGGTCATAGAGGTGAAACTTTGGAAAAATGACCAGGGATCGAGTCTCACCAGCGGTAGTGTGTGAACCATCTCTAAAAGTTAGGGGGGTTCCTTGTGCGCAGTGAGCAAAGGTTTAGCCTCTGTGGTTGGGAAATCCAGAATTTCCTAGAAGACTTAGAATGAACGATTGAAATAAACAAATCTGACATTATATTTAATTACTTATGCATTTTTTTAAAAAAAAATAAAGAACCTCATTCTTTTAATCATAGGCTGAAGCGATTACAAATAGGATCGATGGAACGGTATACCATTCCTTACAGTCAGACATAGAAATAACTTCCCTAGCAATGCTACAAAGAACTTGAATCGTAGACTGTTTCACAAATTTGAAGCTGAATTCGTTAAATGAATTTAACGCTTCTTTAATATCATTGAAAAATTGATCGAATGTAGTCAAGACTAACTTCGGTTGAAAAGTCTTACACACCACCTGAGTATATGTTTTCCATATGTCGTTCATTGACAATATATCCATCGAGTTGAGATGGAGATGCGACAATATATCTAATGAGTTGAGATGGAGATGCTCTTTTACATTGTCATATGGGAGAGTCACTACATGCCATCTGAGCACAAGGTGCTTGGCGGATGAAGTTCACATACGCCATGACCAACTTATATGTTTCACACTTATGAACTCGCCAAACGAAACGAGAGGAAAACAAACTCGCCAAAAGAAACGAGTGGAAAACAAACTCATCACACAAACGATACAAAAACACAGAAAAAAAAAAAGCAGAACACAAAAGAAAAGAGAAGCAACAATACACCTCTTGAACTTTATTTTACGGATCCACGGGAACGATACCACTTCTTTATCCAGATCTGGCATTATCCTTAAGTTTTAGATCCTTGGAACTACCGCAACTTCCTTGAAGGGTTGGTGGCTGAATCGACACTGGACTTCATTATGAAACTAAAAAACAAAACAAAAAGAAAAAAAAAAAGGAGACCGCCGGCCAAGAAAAGAAGCTCCGTCAAAGGCTCAAGCTTCGGCCAGAGGCCGGCGATCACCAGATGAAGAAACGCCCAAAAAAGAAGCAAGATTTTGTCAGACAGAAAGAGAGGTTTCGAGAGAATTAGGATTTCAGAGAATCATCCAAACTATATCTTTAATTGCCAAAACAATTATGAAACTAAAAAACAATTACTTATGCATGATTATATCCTATATAATCTTGCATTTGAAGTACTTATTTAAAAATAAACATAAACATTAGACATTATCTCGTCGTTTCTAAAATGTCAACAACAAGACTTAAACGTATGACCTTTATAATGAAAACAACTTTACCTACTAATTAAACTACATCATTTTTTACAAAACTTGTGTATAATCTTTACTTATACATATACTATATACACATATATAGGGGATGAGGTAGGCACCCTTTGGGCCCTAGGCAAGGGCCCAGCTGGCCCTTGGCCAGGGAATGGCGTATAATTTGTGTAATAATTTGTATAATTAATAATTCTTAAAGTAAGAATTTTATATATGGTAAATAATTAAATATAATTATGATTAGAGAAATGATTTCATTAAGTTCCGATAGAATTGAAAGATACAAAGTATATCACAACCCAAACTGTAACTACTCCTGACAATCAGGATATACTAAGTCAGCACTATTACAATAATAATAATAATAATAATAATAATAATAATAATAATAATAATAATAATAATAATAATAATAATAATAATAATAATAATAATAATAATAATAATAATAATAATAATAATAATAATAATAATAATAATAATAATAATAATAATAAGAATAAGAATAACAATAACAATAACAATAACAATAACAATAATAATAATAATAATAATAATAATAATAATAATAATAATAATAATAATAATAATACTAACACACCCCCTCAAGCACAAGGGTGAGGAACAACATTGAGCTTGTCCTGTAGAGCAGTGAAACGTGGTGATGGCAGCGATTTAGTGAAGATATCTGCAAGCTGATCGGCAGTAGAAACATAGTTGACCAAAAAATCCCCAGAAGCGACTTTGTCACGAACAAAGTGGTAGTCGATTTCCACATGTTTTGTGCGCGCATGAAAAACTGGATTGGCGCATAGGTAAGTCGCCCCTAGATTATCATACCACAACGTGGCTGGCTGGCCGGAGTGTAACCCTAACTCCCGAAGTAGAGACACAGCCTAGGTAACTTCAGCGGAAACATCGGCTAGAGCTTTATACTCTGCTTCGGTGGATGACTGTGCAACTGTGCGTTGTTTCTTGGAGAGCCAGGAGATAAGATTATTGAATCCGAATATGCATGAATGCTAGTAGTGGGTGAAGATGATAGACGTAACCCATAGTCAAGTGTACCCTTGATATAGCGTAGAACCCGTTTAGCAAGACCCTAGTGTTCTGTAGTCGGTGCATGCATAAACTAGCATAGGCGATTGACTGCATATGGAAGATCAGGCCGTGTAATGGTTAGATATTGCAGGGCACCAACTATGCGACGATATTGAGTCGGGTTGTCATGCAACTCATCTGTCTGTATGACTGACTTTGTGACAGCGGCCGGTGTGGTAAGTGGCTTACAGTCAGCCATCCCAGACCGCCCTAGGAGATCAGTCATATAGCGGCGTTGTGAAAGAAGGAGACCATTGTCAAATGGAACTGTCTCAATGCCTAAGAAGAACCGTGGGCTCCCAAGATCCCGTATTTTAAAGGTAGAAGCCAAACGACCCAATAAAGTAGTGACCAAAGTTGCGTCAGTCCCCATCATAATAATGTCGTCAACATACACAAGCAGAAACACCCGTGCGCCCCCAGCAGTATAGTAAAACAAAGAGACATTTGTTTTCGATGAGTTAAACCCTGCAGACAATAAGAAATCATGCAATCTCTTGAACCAGGCCCGTGGTGCCTGTTTCAAGCCATATAGGGAATGCTGTAAGTGACAGACATGCCCCGGATTAGTCGAATCCTCGTAGCCTGGTGGCTGTTTCATGTAAACAGTCTCGGCCAGATGTCCATTTAGAAAAGCATTATGGACGTCCAACTGGGCGTAGGGTCCAGCCATTAGACACAGCAAGGGCGAATAACATCCGTATCGTGGTCGGTTTGACCACAGGACTGAAGGTATCAACGAAATCTTCACCAGCTACCTGGTTGAACCCTTTGGCTACAAGGCGCGCTTTATAGCGCTCTATAGTCCCATCAGCTTTACACTTAGTGCGGAACACCCATTTACATCCAATAATGTTCATATGAGATTCTGGAGCCACCAACCGCCAAGTGTTATTATGCAGTAATGCATTAAATTCCTGATCCATAGCCTCGCGCCAATGTGGATGTCCCACAGCTTGAGAATAACAAGAAGGATCAGTGGTGGCGGTGAGTGCTTGAAAATTCTCATCCGTTCCCTTAGTCATATGCCGAAGGCGCATGACATGATCCCGACTTTGGGGTTGAGGACGGCGTTTCCTAGTCCTTGCCGGTGCTGTATGAGTGATGGCCAACCGAGGTGGTTCACTGGCCAGTGGCACGGGCTCAGGTTCAGTAGAACACTGAGCTGGTGTCGGAGTTGCACAAACAGCTACCATAGGTGGTATGATAGGTCCAACCGCCCAAGGTAAAGTGGGCTGGGGAATAACCTGTTGAACCGGCCCTGCTGAAAAAGGAAAAACAGCTTCGTCAAAACGCACATGACGACAAATGTAGGTCTTTCCACTCGTCAGATCAATGCATCTGTATCCCCTAAAGGAGGGTGGGTAACCTACGAAGACACAGGGTGTCGAGCGATATTCAATCTTGTGCCTGTTATATGAGCACAGATATGGATAACACTAACACCCGAAGACACGCAGGAAAGTGTATGGTGGGGGTGTTTTAAAGAGACGGGTATATGGAGTATCAAACTTTATAGCTGATGACTGTAGGAAATTTATTAGACAAGTTGCTGTTTCAAAGGCATAGTCCCAATACTGTTGAGGTACTTTGCCTTCCGCGAGTAAAGCTAAGCCGGTTTCGACAATGTGTCGATTTCGGCGCTCTACTCGCCCGTCTTGTTCATGTGTGTACGCACATGATTGGCGATGATTTATACCAAGTTGTAAGAAAGTGTTATGCAACTTACGGTATTCACCCCCTAAATCTGACTGAATAGATTTGATAGAGCGCGAGAATTGACGCTCTACCAACACACGAAATGACTCGAAAATTTTATATATGTCTGATTTTACCCGTAATGGATAAAACCAGCAGAAACGAGAAAAATCATCCACAAACAGTACAAAGTAACGATATCCATTCGTACACATTACAGGAGAAGGGCCCCATATATCAGTGTAAAGTAAATCTAGTACATTTTCACTGGAATTAGAAACCCTATCTAATTTGAATCTTGAGGATTTTCCAAGATGACAGGCTGTGCAAGACTCCAAGGACTCAATTTTATTTGAGGTGATTGGGCAATTTTTCAGCACTTTATGGAGGACTTTTTTATGCGGATGACCGAGCCGGCTGTGCCAAACTGCGGGAGAAGTCCGGGAACTGACAAACGCAAAATGAGACCGGGAGACCGGGAGCTTGTACAAACCGCTTGTGGTGGGCCCTTTAAGTAGAGTGGCTTTGGTTGTGGAATCCTTCACAAGAAAACAATCATTATGAAATTCAAAATAAACATTGTTTTCTTTTGTGAATTTATGTACAGATAAAAGCGGAACAGACAAAGACGGAACATATAGAATATTTGATAAATTTAGAGTTTTAGACTGGGATGGGACGGATGCATGTCCGATTCGTGAAATCGCCATACCTGCGCCATTACCAACGCGTAACACATCGGAACCAGCATATTCATCTGAATGGGTCATCATCCCGGGGTTCGGCGTAGCATGAGCCGTAGCCCCCGTGTCCGGGTACCAACCATCACCGGACGCGGTACTACCGCTGTGGAAGGAGCTTCGCCCGAGATTGCGACATGGGCTTGCGGGGGTTGCGTGGTATAGCGCTTGAAGCAATAAACAGTGGTGTGTCCATAGCTCCAGCAGATTTGACACCGAGGGCCATCGCGACCACCTCGCCCGCCGCCGCGATGTTGTCCACCGCGCCCGGAACGGCCGCGACCAGCCTGTTGGTGTTGCTGGTGGTGCAACTGCTGTCCGCCACTGTATCCGCCCGGAGTGCCGCGACCAGTGCCGGTAAAGAGGGCAGTGTGGGAGTTGCCGACATCAACCGCCGTGGGATAATCATCAACCAAAATAAATTCATTAACATGCAAGAAATCAGATAGATGAGCCAATGAGACAGGTGATCCGGTTGCCGTGAGCGAGGTAGCCATGGCTTTGAGCTCCGGCCGCAAACCACGGAACACATAGAGGTTTTGCTCCGTGAGCGACAATGGAAGTCCGGTGAGCGCAAGGGATTCCACAAGCAGCTCAGCCCGGCCTAAATACTCCGCGGTGGTAGAGTTCCCTTGCCGGAGCATTTGGAACTGCCCAAACAAGTTGAGGCAGCGAGCTTCGCTGGATGAGCCGAGGGCGGCAATGATGGAGCTCCATACTTCAGCCGAGGTGTTCCTGCTGACTGCCATGTGGAGGACCTCATTCGCCATTGATGAGATGAGAAGCGAGAGGATAACCTGGTCTTGCTTCTCCCACGCCTTATAGGCCGAATTGGGAACAACCGTGGCAGGTGTTACTGCATATGAGGATTCGCCGAAGTCCGGGGTGATGAAGGCCGGTGGGCACTTGATGCTTCCATCGACGTAACCGAGCAAATCCTGGCTGCGGAGAAACGGGATCAGCTGTGTTCTCCAGAACAGGAAGTTTCGGGTCGTCAACTTCATCGACACATAGTGATGTGCTCCTGCGAGAGGGTTGGCACCAACCGACGACGGTGTTCCAGCCGAGATGGTGCGCTCAGACGACTCGGATGCCATGGTCGGAGAGAAAATAGGTGAGAGGAGGTAATTTGTGGTGGAGGAGGAGAGAGAGCGGATCGATACCAGACTGATACCAAATTAGAGAAATGATTTCATTCAATTCCGATAGAATTAGAAGATGCAAAGTATATCACAACCCAAACTGTAACTACTCCTGACAATCAAGATATACTAAGTCAGCACTATTACAATCATATAATAATAATAATAATAATAATAATAATAATAATAATAATAATAATAACAATTATCACAACATTTTATATATACTAACAAAAGTTTAATGGTATAAGGTCAGTTTTGTTCCATAGAATAATAATATAATATTTGTAGTGCAATGTACAACTTAATAAACATAAAAATACGGACATAAATCGGAGATACCATCTTCTAATGACTCTTATATATCAGTTTTTTAGATTAGATTAAGAATCAGATATTTTATAGAAGAAATTCTGTAAGATTCAAGAACATAATATATTTACAACCCATAATTTTAGCAAAAGGATATGACAAAAACCCTTCGGGAGGAGAGGTAAAGGAAAGCAAATTAACAGAGTTAATTAATTTTAGATTGAATTCCATTTATAGTCCTAAATTAAAGGTTATAGTCCACTTATATTTCTTTTTTATCAAAACATCTTTATTTGGCCTTAGTATTATTGTGGCATGAACATTTTTTATTCTCCATCAATTAAAATGTCGTTAAATACAAGGATATTTTGATCTTTTTATACAAATTATGTTGATCTGCTATATTTTTTATGTTTATTTTTTTGAAAAAAATTCATAACTGATGACTGAAATTGCCTTGTATTTTTACGAAATGTAAACAGTTTTGTTCATAGAGAACCAAAAATAGTCATGTCACAATAATACTAGGACCAAAAGTAAATATTTTCCAAAAAAAACACACACACACACACAAAGTAAACTATCACCTATAAATTTAGGATCAAAAATATAATTAACTCATAATTTTATTATTAAATAGTAAACATAACACGTAAGTGAGGTAGAAATAATATATTTCAATCTAAATTGCACTATTTTGTCCACAAGTGAAAGTTAAAATTGATTTTGTAAAATTTCCTTAATGAAATTAGTTTTTTTTTTTTTGAATGCTACTGACTCAATTACGTACATTGTAGTATCTGTTCAAATATATTTTCTTAACCTAATGAAAAGCACAAAAAGTCAATAACACTTCCACTAAGATTCAATCTCATGACCTCTCACATGGGAAACATCCCTCTCACATGGAAGAGGTCACTACATGCCATCAATCTGAGCACAAGATGTTTAGCCCTTAATGAAATTACTTAGAAAAATAAAGATAAATTTTCCAAAAAAAAAAAGATGGAGCGTCGTTTTTGTTCTCCCTAGATAGTGAAAGAGAGCACTGAAAACTTTATTTCGAAAAAATAAATAAATAAATTTGAGAGTTTTTTCTTAATTACTATTCATATAAGAAAATTTAATAAACAATTGAGCATGGTATAAGTGAATATAAGAATTTTGGATTTTGTATTGGGTGCAATAATTAAGGATATTTTAGGATTTGTAGGGACAATGTCCTTATTGGCAAATTATGCCCTGCAAACATGTGTATCATGCATAGTGCACACGGAATTGGATCCATAATTTCTATATTATAAATCCATAATTTCTATACTATAGATTCATAATTTCTATATTATAGATTCATAATTATTGAACTCTATATTCACAATTACAAAATTTTATGTTCATAATTTTCAATGTTCATATTCCCAATTGTTGAATTCTGTATTCACAAATCACTGAACTATATGTTCATAATTTGATAACTATACAGTATAGAAATTATGAATCTAGAGTATAGAAATTATGAATCTACAGTATAGAAATTATGAATCTATAGTATAGAAATTATTGATTTATAGTATAGAAATTATGGATCCAATTCTATGTGCACATTGCATGATACACACGGTTGCATAGCATAACGCTCTGTCATTATTGCACTATTACAAACTTCAAAATTGTTGTATCTAGTGCAATAGACAATAGTACTTATAAAGTATCTGAATTGAAATAATAAATATTATTATAATAAGTTGATAATTTAATAAAGTACATAAAATTTTAAATTATTATTTAAGTAATTTGGATTTTTTAGTACTATTGACTCTGTTACAATGAGAGTTTGAATTAACTGAACAGTTACAACTGAACAAGAATACATCAGATAAAAGATAACTTGACGTGAAACTCTCCTATCTATTAGAGAGCTCAGGTCAATTGAATCTAAACTACATAAACAAAGAATATAAAAACTATATAATATAACACTTATTAACAGTTACAATGTAGTAAAGAGTTAATGCCCCCACACCGAGATTCGAACATGAGACCTATCATTTGAGAGGCCCGCTCGACCACAATGCGTTTGGCAATAATTTGGATTTAATCCTTCCTAATAACATTTTGAAGACTTGTTATTTTATTATGGGGAAAGTTATAATTTATGTCCCTCACAAATATACCAATTGTCAATAATGTTACTCCTAAACTATTACTGGGCGTTTGGTTGGAAGGAATTTAAATTCCATTCCCACTTAATTTCAAAGGCCAAATTCCTTAGTTTGGTTGGAAGGAATTGCAATTCCCTCATTTTCGTGGAATTAAAATCTCATGCTCCTTATGAGATTTTAATTCCATGGAACTTGGGAAGAAAAAAAGATAATGATGAGACAAAATTACCCTCCCTTTTTTTTTAACATAAAATTAATACTTGACAACAACAATGGGCATTTTGGACTTTATAGAGTGAATTCCATTTTTGGTCCTACTGTTATAGGGGCGTTTCCAATTTCAGTCCACTTTAATTTTTTTTGCCACTTTATAACCACTGTTATTGAATGTGTTCCACTTTTAGTCCACCGTTAATATTTCCGTCAAGAGGCCGTATAATCAAAGGGTATTTTGGTCTTTTTATGTTTGTCTCTTCTCCTTTAATCTAGGCGCTTCCTCCTCCTCCTCCGATATTTGAAGATGGCTCTTTGAATAACGAGAATGGGAAGCCAAAGCTACATCGTTTTGTTCGTTCCAACATGGCCCGTCGAGGTTTCTTAGGTTTTAGGTTTAATGTTCTCATTTCTTTAATCAAACATAGTCTTGGATGAGAAGAAATGTCAAAATACTCCTAGATTACACGGCATCTTGATGGAAATACTAACGGTGGGACTAAAAGTGTAACACATTCAATAATAGTGGTTATAAAGTGGCAAAAAAAATTAAGGTGGACTAAAATTGGAAACGTCCCTATAACAGTAGGACCAAAAATGGAATTCACTCGACTTTATATTACTTATTATTCCATTTCAATTCTCATGTATACCAAACATTGGAATTGAAATTCCCAGTAATTTTATTCCTGCAAACCAAACACTGGAATTTAAAATTCTCACTTTATTCCCAGTAATTCATCTCTCATGGAATTGCAATTCGTTTCCCACGTAATTCCCTTCTTCCAACCAAACGCTCCGTTAGTGATGTAAATATTACCCCTTAATATCATTTTCAAAATGCGACATATATTACTCTTCCCTTAATAGGAAAAAGGAGAAACATCGTTGTCAGCGGAAGGAGAACAAACGAATAAAGAAAAATGAGGACAAAAAAATGTGGCCTTCGAACATGAGAAATGACGAGTAATCACATTTACACCACTAATAATTTTGAGGAATGACAATATATTTCACGTTTTAAAAATTAAAAAGTAACATTTAAATCACTAATAATTCAAGAATGACATTAATAATTGACATATTTGTGAGAGGCATAAATTACAATGTTTTCTTTATTGTATTGAAATGTAATATGTCAGTATTTGCCGTGGATAGTTGAAATGGCGTATGCGGTATGTGCCATAAGAAATTAAGAATAATAGTGCAAAAATAATATGTGACAAAGCAATGACATGACAAAAAGTATCCCACATTACAAAATAATTTCATAATATCCTATTCTGAAAAAACAAATGTTATTCTTTCTTACAAAAATCATTACATTTTTTTTTTTTGAAAAGAGCCTGTGCGGTATTTATTCGAAATATGCTGAAATAGAGTCTGGCGGGTCTAAGTCCGCGTACATACTAGATAGGTGATTAGTTGCAGAAGAAGCTAATGTATGCGCTAAATAATTGTCTAGTCTAGGAACATAATAAATTAAGCAGTAATCAAAAGATGCCATACTAGTTTTGCAACTATCAATGGCATAGCCTAAATAAGAGCGCAATGAGTGTGTTGTAGACGAAAGATATTGTTGGAGCACCAAACAATCTGTGTAGAGGTCTATATCTGTTTCTTCTCGGTGTCTGAGCCATGACAAAGCTTCTTTGCATGCGAAAGCCTCCGCCATTAAGGGCGAAAAATAGTGTATGATAGGGGTGGTCATCGCCGACACATAGCATCCTCGTGAATCCAATATAATAGCCCCCATTGCTGCCTTGTTTGTTGTTGGATCGTACGTCGCATCGAAATAACATTGATTCCTCCCGTTCTGCGTAGTATTGTGTTGGACGGTTGCTGAAAATTCCCGTGATAATGGCAGTGTTTCGGCCTCCCCTTCTCCCATAATTGCTGCGCCTTCCCTCGGGCAGTAAACTGCCGCAACTGGCGGTAAAATAGCAGCCGGCATCGTGGTGATGGCTTGCGGACTTCTTCGAGCGGGATGTGCCTCTTTCCATGCATTGACGGATGACAACGCCATTGCTATCACGTTTTGGGGCCTGGGCAACATTGCTTCCCATACAGCTCCATTTCTCGTTCGCCATATGAAATACAAGAGAGCCACTGCATAAATAATCCTATCATCATCTAAAATATTCAACAAATCACTAAACCAATCACTGAAAATATTTGTGGCACTATTGGGGATTGGAAGGTTGGATCGTGCCCAAATGTTCATCGTATAACCACAAGTGATCAAAGAATGCACAAGATTCTCATGCCCAACTCCACACATTGCACAAGTTGGATCAATATCAACTCTCTTTATAAGTAAATTCTCCGTAGTAGGCAAAATATCATTTAGAGCTCTCCACAAGAATGTTTTCCATTTTCGGGGGGCTTTGAGGCTCCATAATTTTTTCCACTTATGAAAGTTACCCTCCGGTTGAGAGTAGTTCCCTCTTACCACCTTGTATCCTTCTTTAACTGAATATTCCCCTTTTGGGTCGCCATACCAGTACCACATATCCTCATACTCAAGAGACACAGGTATTTTTAATATTTTCTCCACATCTTGGGCTATGAAAATATCCACTAAAATTTCATGGTCCCAGGTTCCAGTCTGCTGGTCTATCAGTCCCTCCACTTTTGCCTGAGCCAACTGAGGCGGTTTTTCTGTTAAAATTCTTGGCTGGTTGTCATCATGTATCCACGGGTGGTCCCAAATCAAAGTTGATTTGCCATTCCCAATTCTGCGTCTTACTCCCCCACAAATTAACCCCTTAGCCGCCAAAATACTCCTCCAGCAGAAACTTGGATTATTTCCCAAGGCTGCTTCATAGAAGGAACTAGCAGGGTAATATCTAGCTTTATACACTCTTGAGACCAGTGATTGTGGTTGTGTCAGGAAGCGCCATGCCTGCTTACCTAACATTGCAAGGTTAAAGGCTCTCAATTCCTTAAACCCAAGTCCTCCAAATGTCTTTGGGATGCACATTTTATCCCAGGCCTTCCAATGGATGCCTTGTTCATTTCCTGACCTCCACCAGAACCGATTCATAGCTCTCTCAATGGCTGTACATAAATTCATAGGCAACAGAAATACGCTCATTGCAAAAGTGGGCATAGATTGAGCCACACTTTTTAGTAGAACTTCCTTCCCCGCCTGTGATAAAAGCTTTTTGTTCCACGAGCCAATTCTCTGCTTTATCTTATCCTCAATATATGAGAAAGCCTGTCTTCTATTCCTGCCCACAAAAGATGGAAGTCCCAAATATTTTCCAAAATTCTGGGCCCGTACAACTCCCAATATATCAACAATCTCTTCCCGAACTTCCTCACTTGTATTTTTACTGAAACATATGTTTGATTTGTGATAATTAACCGCCTGTCCCGACATGGTTTCATAGGTTGTTAAACAACGCTTAATCGCTCCTGCTTCCTGATTATTAGCTTTGAAAAACAGCAGGCTATCATCCGCAAAAAACAAATGAGTAATAGAGGGAGCCCCCCTCGCAACTCTGCATCCATGTATATCCCCTTTGACCTCAGCTTGTTTCAACAATATTGAGAGACCCTCAGCACAAATAATGAACAGATAAGGTGATAAAGGATCACCTTGTCTTAAACCACGAGTCGGTGTTATTTGTTCAGACTTTGATCCATTTATCAACACACTATATGACACAGTGGATACACACATCATTAGAAATTTGACCCACCTGTCATCAAAACCCAGTGCTTCCAACATCCTTTGCAAGAAAGACCATTCCATACGGTCGTAGGCTTTTGCCATATCTAACTTCAAAGCCCCCCAGCCAGCTAGTCCACATTGCTTTCTGTTCAGATAATGGCCCACCTCCGCCGCTACCAATATATTATCTGTAATAAGCCTTTCAGATATGAACGCACTCTGGGATTCAGAAATAATACTATCCATCACCGGTTTCATTCTGGCCGTTATCACTTTTGCCATAACTCTATAGACCACATTACTAAGCGCAATTGGCCTATAATCAGAAACCATTTCCTGGGTTTTCTTTTTCGGGATCAAGATAATATTCGTCTCATTTAAACCATCCGGTAGAGAACAATTATTCAGAGAATTCCTGATGAAAGTAGCAACATCAGATCCTACCACATCCCAAAAATTCTGGTAGAAACCAGGGTTCATCCCATCCGGACCCGGTGCCTTATCCGGATGCATTGAAAATAAAGCTGCTTTTATTTCTCCACCTCAAACGGCCGCACTAGCTTCTCATTTTGTGTAGTAGTGATCCGGGGTTGTATACCCCCAAAGAAGTCCTCATCAATCATAGGTGTACTTGAATTAAAAATGTCACGATAGTACTTCAAGATAATACTTGTCATAGCTTCCCCCTCAATCCAATCCCCGCTATCATTCATAATCTTAGAAATGGTATTTTTTTCTTTCGGTGAGAGGCATACCTGTGGTAAAATTTTGTGTTTGCGTCCGCATTCTTGAGCCAATGCTGTTTGGCCCTCTGCCTCCAGTATACATCCTCCTGCAGCTCAATCCGAGTCAGACACGCATCCAACCTCCTAAATTCGGTCAGGGATACCGAATCTGTACGTCCTCCGAGGCGCATCTGTTCCTTTCGTAGGGCAGCAATCTTCTCACCAAATTTATGGAAACGGTCTCCACCCCATCGTGTTAACCGAGTTCCACAAAAAGCTGTGCACTCCTGCAATCCCCTATCCCGTCCTTCCCCCCACGACTTCTCCACCACCTCCCTACAGCCCTCATCATGTAACCATGCCATCTCAAAGCGAAAGCCCCTACCCCGACCACTCCGCCCCCCCCCCCCCCCCCCCCCCCCCCCCCCCCCCCCCCCCCCCCCCCCGGAGATTTAGAATCCCAAGGAAAAGCAAAGAGTGATCCGATTTTCGGGTCAATATGTTCTGTACACTTGCATCCTGTACCAATTCCCTCCAAGACTGCGTAGCCAACACCTTATCCAAGCGTTCCTCTATCCAATTCGAGGTACCCTTCCCCTTTTCCCAAGTGTAAGGATATCCTGACATTGGTAGTTGCGTTAAACCACACTCTTCAATAGTCTCTCCAAATCCCCGTAGCAAACTGTCCGGGTGTGGATTCCCTCCCCGTTTCTCGTACTGATATAAGAGATCATTGAAATCTCCAATAATAACCCACGGCAGCTCAGACTTACCTGCCAAGGACCGAATTAAATCCCATGATTCCCTTCTCTGGGGGCGTTTCGGGAAGCCATAGAATCCAGTCATCCTCCATTTATCAAAACCTGGAATAGTCACCTCAATATCAATGTAGTTATTTGAATAGCCAATCAAATTTGCCATACTATTCGCCCTCCACAACATAGCCATCCCCCCACTTAAACCAGAATTGTCAACATTAAACAGGCCTTCAAAACCAAGTTTAACCCGAAGTCGTTCTGCATGATCTCGGTTAACCTTGGTTTCCATCAGAAATACAAAGTCGGGTTTCTTTCGGGACACTATGTCCTCAATCTCCCGAACTGTCCGTGGATTACCCAAGCCACGGCAGTTCCAACTCAGAGTACTCATTGGGTTGGGCGGGTCTGCACCGCAGCACCCGCCATCTGCAAGTTTTTTTGTACTTCTGTCATTGTTACATCCTCCTCCACCACTCCACCCTCACTAACCCGCCCCTCCCTCACATCCCCCTCCACCGATACGGTCCCACCCATGGTTCCCGTCTCCACCCTCACCCCCGGCACCACCTCACACCCAATCCCACCATCCGTTCTTCTCCGCTTGGGATCCACCCTAACCCCCTCCTCCTCTCCAGCCACCCCGTTCCCTCCCCCCAAACCCGGCAGTCCACTCCCGCCCTCACCTACCCTCCGACTCCCCATACTGGCCAAAGCCGGCTCCTCACCCCTCGCCCCTTGCTGTCCAACCCCTTCCCTCCCAAAACCGATTTCTCTCCTCCTTTGCTGCCCCAACTTGAACCACTTATCCCCGACCAATTTAGCCGGATTATTTCCACTCACCCTCATTGTTGCACCGTAAATATACTGATCGGGAGTCAACAACGAACGCCGCGCAGCCAAGCAAAATTTATCCGTGTGTCCCATTATACCACAAAAGAAGCAAAACATGTGTAGTCGCTCAAACTTGAAGTTTATCCACGTCCACGACCCATCCCGCATGATCATCTTCATTCGGCGTTTCAGAGGCACAGTTACATCATGCGTAATACGAATTCTGTAATATGAAGTCCATGGTCTTTCAAAATTTCGTTCATCATACCGTATAAACACTTCGGCAAAATCCCCAATCCTTTCCAGAACCCTCACCGTTCGATAGCCCAAGGGGATATCAAAAACCTGGAGCCAGAAGTTTACCGTGTTCAAAACCACCTGCGTCGGGTCAACTCCATCATCCAGGACCTGACACAAAAAAGTTGTATTCTCAAACGCCCATGGGCCGTCCTCCAGCACCCGGCGCATATCGGCTTCATCAAAAAACGTAAAGAGATACAGATTTGGAAGAACATCCGTTATCTCTATCCCCATAAGAGGACGCCAAGCCGAGGCCATCACCCTCTTCATCACCTCCACCTTCAGCGTCCGGTCCGTTAGGAATTTCCCAACCAGCGTCCACGTCTTCCGTTCCGGAGGCAGCGCCGGAATCTCATAAGCTTCGTCCTCGAACCGAACTCCCTCATCATCACCATCAAGATTGATATCTGCCGTGGCATCTACTAAATCGTGCACATCCATCGTCGTAACAAAAGCAGCTTCCTCCGTCGCAACTCGTCGCAAGAAGCAGTGCGGCGATAGTCCGTCGCACACCGTCGATACCGAAACCCTAGAAATCAGGGAGCACCACCGGCAAAACCCTAGAGTTCAGGGAGTTGTACGTATTCCTTATTGAGCGGGTACAAAAATCACTACATAATTAAACGGTTTGGCACCGAATCCCGTTGGTTGTAAAAATTATAAATTAAAATAATACTACGAGTACATTATTTACACTCCCTTGAATGGCATTGATTAAAAAAAATTATTTATTTTAATCACTTACTCGTGAATTGGTGATTTGGTCGACCCTATCATGAGTAAATAAAAAAAATACTTAATAATCAAATACTCCTTCCGTCTCATTTAATGTGTCCGATTCGATTAATGAGGATTAATCGAAGTTATTTCTAACTCAATTTTTTCATAATATTAAATTTAGTATTAATATATAAAATTTATATATTTATAAATTACAATAAATTAAACATACTATTAAACAAAAAAATATTTTAATTTAAAGGTAATTAAAAAAATACCAATGAAAAAAAAAAAAGAGAAAAAAAATTGATAATTTGACCAATAAAAAATAAATAGACAGGTAAAATATAAAAAATAGGGTATAAAAAGTATTCAATAAATTGATGATACGTTATTTAATGATTTCTATATAGGTCTCTAGCATTATGAATTCTTTGAATTAATAAAGAGTTAATACCCAAAATCGTCCTCGACTATAGTGGTTTTTCTCAATTTCGTCCTAAACGATTTTGGTGACCTAATATCGTCCCAGATTTTTGTGTTTCGCTCAATTTAGTCCCAGACTTTTGTGTTTTGCTCAATTTAGTCATTCATTTGTTATTCTGTCTATTTGGTGTTAAATAAATAGACAATTCAGTAATTTTAATATTGGCATCTCTTTACTCATAGACATGTGAACTGCGAAATCCTTTTTTTTTTTTTTTTACGAATTACTCCTAAAACTGCGAATATAAAATTTGATTTGCAGGTCCGGGAGTAATTCTGGGTGTAATTCGTACAAGAAAAAAGAATTTCGCACTTCACAAGTTGAAAGTAAAGAGAGATCAATATTGACATTACTGAATTGTCCCTTTATTTAACACCAATTTGACGGAATAACAAATGGAGGACTAAATTGAGCGAAACACAAAAGTCTGGGACGATATTAGGTCACCAAAGTCGTTTAGGACGAAATTGAGAAAAACCACTATAGTCGAGGACGATTTTGGGTATTAACTCAATTAATAAATTTCAAGCCTAACGGGAAAATTTGCAAATAAAAATTTAAATTTTCTATATATATATACATAAAACTAAAAGATAGAATTAGCAAACTTGGAAATTATTTACAATTATATAATATTTTTTTTTTCCATTTCTGTTGTATTGTATTGATCTCCCTCCCACTATAAATACAAATGCATTCTCCTATTGATTCACACTAACATAGAAATATATACAAGAATGGCTTCTAAAGCATTGACATTTCTCTTCATTGTTTGTCTCATTCAATATTGTAAGTCTTTCTCTGTTCTTTCTTTTTTTCCTTGCTATTCACACATTATTATTTCCTAACAAAAAAATTATCATATAGATTTATTTCAATTTTATGTTTGCTTCAATAACCATATTCTCTATTCAGAGAAATGCACAAACAAACGCGTTCTCAAATGTTCTTTATTTTTTTTTATTTGTTCACTTCCTATTCATTGTAAACGTAATCTCTGCTTATCTTTATTCAAAATTTTAATTATTTTTTCACTATATATTTATATTTTATTTGTAGAAATATACAAGTAAATGTATTATTTACTTTTATTTTTCATTGGTTGTATATGTAGGTGTTTTGTTTGAGGCTGAGGCAAGAAATGTGGTATATGTGCATTGCAAAACCGATGAAGACTGTCAATACATTTGTCCGCCTCCAGTAGACCCGGAGGCCTATTGCGTATGGACTACTTACCTATGTGAATGTGATCCAAGTGCTTTCGCTAAAAAATCAAATTAATGTATGAAATGGTTGAATGAATTGAACAAACCATTTCTTGGATGAAATTGGCTAGGCGGCTATATCTTCTTATCTTTAATTTTAATAAGATTGTGGTTACCCTTTCATTGTATCTCAAACGTTTGTTCTTACCTGTTTATTCCATTACATTGATGAATGATTGATATGAAACTTTTAGGAGAGTGAACCTAGCTCATGCCTTTGAAAATTTTTAATTTTGTTCTGTTTTTATCATCTTAATCCTTGTTCTTGTCAGATCAAAATATCAAACAAGTATGACATATTGTTCACATTTAGCCCTTATTAAGAGTGTGGTTAAATACCCGGCCCCATTAAAAATAAATGGTGAATATTTATTATTTTATTATACTAGTAATTCACCCGCGCGATGCACGGGAAAAAATTATGTTATTATAAATATAAATAAAATATAAAAAAACTAAAATATTTTAAATTGTTTAACATAATAATATTTTTGAGCTTCCATTGGTCAAGTATTTATTATTTTTATAGAATACAAAATTACAATTAAAATTAAAATTAAAATTTTGTATGGTTAATATAATCTCTAGTTATGTGCATATTCAAATAAACTTATAGAGAGAATTTACATAATTACATTGATTTATTCTTAATTGTATTTCATCTATATTATAATTTTCACAATACGAATAATAACTAAGATAATTACATTTGGAAAGCAAATTTCAAATTTTGTATGAGTAAATTTCAACTCTAATTGAACACATTTTTTTATATGATTATATAATATATAGCTATTTTATTTTTCAAAAGTACATTTTTTATATGATTATATAATATATAGTTATTTTATTTTTCAAATGTTGTACTTTATTTATTTATTTATTTATAATAAAAGATGTTGTGGCATTAATTGTAATATTGATTACTTCCCAAACCATATAGCTTTATTATAATTAAGATTAAAGAATGACTGACAATGGTAGTGTTATCGATCGTTGACATGGAGTATGTAACATATATGACTATATCTAACAATGCAAAAAAGTGTCATGCATTGGGAAATAATTTCATAATAATACCCTTCTCTGAAAAGAAGAAAAAAGGGGGAGGGGTATGCAATTTTAGTCCCTCAATTGTTCATTGCTAACGGTTTTAGTCTATAATAACTTTTTATCGTTGCAGTATACACCCCCAACTCTTCAAGAAAGTTTCAATTTTAACTCCTGCAATAATAAAACTATTGAACTCTATTAAAATTTTACTTAGTATATTGATATTTTAAAATTTTATTATCTTTGCTCTTTATAACATTGTCAGTTTTGGTATTTCATCTGAAAAATAGAAAATTAACAATCTTCGATCTTCTCTAAATGTTTCATTTTCAATTATGTCTAATCGTCCCTATTTTTATACACGTTCATGTTAAAATCATGTTATTTATTTTACAAATGAAATATCGAGACTTAACAAGGTTATAATTAAAGACAAAACAATAAAAAGTAGAGTTAATTTCAGGAATGGTCATTCGACTATTGACTTTTACCAATATTTGTCTTTGACTTTTAATTTAACCAAAATTAGTCCCTTGACTATTGATTTTGTTCCAATTTTAGTCCTTCTGTTAAATCTCAGTTAGTTGGGAGTTAAATTTGAGGGTAATAATGTAAAATCAAATCTTTTGTCCTTTTTTTTTTCTCCATTTCAATAGTCAAGGGACTAATTTTGATTAAATTAAAAGTCGAGAACAAATATTAGTAAAAGCCAATACTCGAAACACCATTCATAGA